CAGTCATGCACAAGGTAGACCTGCAAGAGAACCCAGGGATCTGAGGCCACCCTGAATTAGAGGGCCCCTACCGGAGCACCTAACCCCTGATATAGAATACCATCACAGCAGCAGCAATGGCGTGCATATAAAGGGGAGGAGACAGGCCCTGCTAATGCTTGGGGCCTAGGATTGTCCTGTAGGTGGAGGGAAGCCAAGCACTCAACCACGTGTAGACAGAGACATATTAACAGGCATCCAATCAGATTCACACAATTCCACCCTCACAGACATACACAGGCACGCAATGAAATGACGCACAAGAGCAGACACTTAAGAAATTCTTACACTCCTTAGACTCTTACTGTCCTCCCAGATCCTCCGGCCCCAAGCCCAAGGACAAGACCCCCTCTCTCCTCGAGCAGGCAACTTAAGCTGGAATGTCATCCATGACAGACTTGTATGCATGGAAACCTTTAGATTTACTCTGTTAAGCTATATTCACACTGCAGGCAAATCCGACACAAATCCATTCTTTTTGCCCATATGGGACTCATAAATGAGTTTGTCACGGCAATCGGAATAGCTCAGTTCTGTTCCTTCCACCCTACGAAAATCAGATTTGAGCCACTTTTATATGTACTACTAAATCAGATATGAATTTGTCTGAATGGTCATGCTGCTTTTTACTTCTACGTCATTGCTAGGGCTTCCTTTGCACATCCACGCTCACTTCTCTGCAACAGCAGCATCACTGATTGCTTTGGAAATGCAAAGTTGTTAATAGTTGTACTCTGTTTATAACACTGAGCAACTACATTCACTATTACTTTATTTTAGTTTATTTTCACTAAAGCTTTATTGAACACTTCTCATCTTTACTTGTGTAAACAATGGGCTGCTGTTGGATGTCTACCTTCTCTTTTTGGGCATGCAGGTCACTTTTGGGTCACAAACCATTCAGCATGCACTCATGCATATGCATACTAGTGTAAAAGACCATGCAGTGGAAATCAGATTTCATCAAAGTTTCTTGAATGAATGAATGTTGTTTCTCAAAAAGGTTCTCAAGTTTAACCAATGCCCTCACCTGCTTTCAGTTTCTTTCTTCTCCTCCTATTTGCTAGTGTCTTCAGTGACACTGCTCTCGTCTCCATGCATCGTTCTTTTGCTTCATCCTCTGTGATTTTTTTGTACAGCTCTCTGTCCATGAGTTTTGAAAGATTTTTGAACTTTCTACATTAAATAGCTTTCCTCTTGCCTCAACCACATTTTGCATTAAGTCCTCCTGTAACCTCACTGAGGCAATATAAGCATTTTGGAGTGGCTAAGTCAAGAGTCCCAGGTTAAATGGTGAACTATTCCAAAGGATTAGGGAAATGGCAAGCAGACCTTCCAGTTTCACTTATGACTGCAGATAAATTTCTAATATGGCTGTAAAAAGATGTAACAGCTGCTTGCCAAATATTTGTATTTAAATGCTAAAAAATTGATTAACTTCTTTTTTTACATCTAATTTTCCAATGAAAACAAACTTTCTTATTGAATTAGAAGGATTTATAATGTTTATCTATCAGGAATATGAAAAATGTGAGCCTTAGCTTTAAAGAAAATCATGTTTGTTTTAGAATTACTTTATTAATTTAGATTTTATGGATCAATTGATAAACCAACCTAAAAATATTAACATTTGACAGTATCATGTTTAAATTTTAATAATATGTATATGTATAAAATGCATTAAGACATTGATTATCATGACCATAATAATGTCTGCAGAAAATGTACCTTTTTGCTGTAACACAAGTCTAAAAAGTAAAAAAAAGTAATTAGTCATGGTTTGGATAGCAATCATTATTTTTATTTATTTATTTATAGTGTGTACAAAAAAAGGGTAACAAGTGGGGGAGGAGTTGCACAGTTTATTCTAGAAGAGAGTCGCATAAAATGCTCTTTTCTTTAGCGATACGAGAAAATGCTAACTATCCTATGCATAGGTTTAGTTTTTAACTCTAATATCTCAGCGTTAGTGTAACTAAGAGGTTTGTTTTTTGTTTGTTTTTTTAATGGGTGTTTGCGTTACCCATCCCAACAGAGCCCACAGCAGCGTCTCT